TCCCTTAAGCTGTCCTCCTGTTTTTAAATTTTTCTATTTGGGTTTCTGATTGAGTGGATTTTTTTTCTACTTTGTTTTCTAATTCACTGATTTTGGCTTTTCCCAATCTGCTGTGTGTTCCTTCCACTGTGTTCTTTATTAGTGCTATGTCATTCTTCATAGTTACTATGTCTTTTCTCATGCTGTTGGTCATCTTTTCCGTCATTATTTTGAACTCCATGTCTTATCTCCATTTCATTTATCTCTTCTGGAGAATTCTCTTGTCCTTTCATCTGGTGCTTGTCTTTTTGTCTCCCCATTTTGACTGCCTGTTTGGGTTTGTGTCTGTGTATTAAGTAGATCTGCTAGGACTTCCAGCCTCTAGTGCAGGACAATATCAGATGCTGTTAGTGACTGGCCCTGAGTATCATTTGGAACTATTAGCAAACCACAGCCCGTGGCTCCTCTGCTGGGGCTGGGTGCCTTTGGAAAGGACCAACATGTGCACCAGGGTCTGCTTTTCCTATCCCTGGGCCCAGAAGGAGGTCAGGCAAAGACTCAAAGCTTCCAGAGGCCCTCCTCTGCCAGCAGTCTGATTGTTCTCAGTCTTGAGAGGCTCAGGCTACCGACCTCAGGGTGGGAAAGAGGTCTTCCAACAGCATGGGACAACTGCCTTTCCCCCAATCAGAAACCACCTGGAGTGCAAAGATCCTCGGGCGAAAGATGTCCACAGTGTGAAGGAAGGACTCAGCACAGGAAAACAGGGTGGCTGCCCTCTGAGCTCCAACCCCAGAGTCCCCAGGCTGGAACTCTCCTCACACGGCTGCAGTCCACTCTGTCCTCTCTGTGCTGGAGCCCCAGGTGAGTGGCTACACACGAAATTTTGTACATTGGCCCTTTAAGAGGGTGCCTGCATTTCTAGCCATCTCTCCTGGCAGACAGCAACCCTGCTGCTTTTGACAGTCAGATGTTACATGGGTACCTTTCTCAGTTCTGGTGCTCTGAGCTGGGGGGCCCAGCTTGGCATTTAGACCCCAAAGTTCTCAGTGGGAACCCCCTCTGCCCCTACCTTCAGCTGCTGTCTGTGGGAGCCCGGCTAACCATTTCTCATCTTCACATTCCTCCTAGTCTCTATGTGGTCTCAACTTTCCATCCTTGGTTGTCAGGGTTCTCTCTAGCTAGTCCTCAGTTGATTTCCAGAATGGTTTTTCTGTATTTCAGTTGTATTTCCAGTTTGGTCCTAGGAATGTTAGTGTAGCTTCCACTTACTCTGCCGCCATTTTGGAATCAACCAGAAATATTATTATTATAGAGTAAAATCAATGGCAGGAGAGCAAGGAATTGAATGGCTCTCTATGAAATTACAATTTTTATGCATTTACAAAGCTTTAAAAGGGAGTTCTTTGTTAGTGAGATTTTTCTTTCAATTTTTTTTCTTTGTTCAAATATTTGAGGCCCCCAGAATTGGAGGAATACATTGAAGTGTGCTAAATCAGAATAAAATATGGGAGAAAAGAAGTAAACCAAGAAATAAGGATCAAGGAGCATGCTGCTGCTTTAGTTTTCCCTCATTTTCCTCTCTTCACCTCCAGGCCTCCTTCCTCTTAAGCTCCCTGGTCAGATGTTGCCAGATAGTTATAACAGTGCAAGTGTGAAGGGCCTTTGACTCCTCCTCATCTATACTAATAAAAGGGTAATATGCAAATTAACCATCACTCCACGACAAAGATGGCGGCGCCCATAGCCAAAAAGATGGCGGCAGCTGGAGCCATGGAGCCGGCCAGAGCGGGCAGGATGCTTGGCTTCTTTCAGGTGGGACACTTGGCTTCCTTTGTTGCCCCAGCGATGAAGGAAGCCAAGCCTCCCACAAGCCCTGGCCTCTGGGTGGCAACCACGGAGCCAGCTGGAGTGAGTGGGAGGTGGCTCCAGAGCAAAGGCCCGGGTCCCAGGTGCCAGAGGGAAGTCAGTGCCAGCAGCAAGGGAAAGGAAGGCCTATTCTTGCACGAATCTTCATGCATCGGGTCTCTAGTCTTAAAATATTAAGCTACAGTTGTTTTCAGTTCCAGATAAGCCTCTTGGCTCCATTGTGATTCTCGTCATTTTCTTCGTAGCCCTGAGTTAGAATGCAGATACTTTCGTTAATCTCTTCAGTTTTGACACGGTCTGATCTTTCTCCCCAAAGGCTTATAATTAGAAGTGTTAAATGCTATGCTTCCGCTGAGATCCAGTTTCCTGAGGATGGATTTTCCACGTTTCCCATGTTGTCTTTCACTGGTTAACTTCAGATCAAGAATCTGGCACATGACTGCTTGTTATGACACTTCGCATTTATAGTCAATGAACTTCCTAGCAGGGACAGCCTGTTAGTATTTGTAGAGCTGTGAGTCTCAACTGGAGTGTTGTAGCCACTGCACGGCTAGCCATTTAGACCAAGGGTTTGAATGCAGCAGATTTTTTCTGGTCCCATTGTTGTGTTCCCAGAAAGTATACAATGTAATAGATTTGCATTCCTCTGAGAGGAGCCAGGTCATGGATGATTTAGTTGTTGACCCACAGAAGATAAGGATTTTGGGGCGGGGTATTTAGAAGGGAAGATTTAAAAGTAACTAAACTAGAAAATGTTTCACATGAAATAAGGTCACTTTGCATTTTGGGGGGAGTCTTTTTGCAGTCAACAGACAGTATTGATGAGGTTTTTAATGTTGGGAGGTGGTCTTGGGCCGCTTGCGTAGGGGCAGCTGGTCCTGAGGCAGCCATGGGGTTGCTTGTCTGGTTTGGCTGCGTTTCTGGGCTTGGAGCTAAAACACAGCCAAGGCCGGATGTATCTGATGTGGGTCAGAACCTCACTGTCCTGGGGGCTTGATGCCTAAGGGCTATTCTCCAGCCCGTTCCTTCCCTCTCAGGGTCTACCCGCAGGACTAGCAATACGGCAGGGGAGGAAAGGGGAAGGAGGGTCCAACCGCAGGCCCAGCCATGTGAAAGGTCAGGGGTCTAAACTGCAGGACCAGCCATGTGAAAGGTCAGGGGTCCAAACCCAGGCCCAGCCATGTGAAAGGTCAGGGGTCTAAACTGCAGGACCAGCCATGTGAAAGATCAGGGTTCTAAACCGTATAAAAAAAGAAAGAAAAGTTAGTATATGTTATATATAATAATTAGTATATATACTAAATTTTTAACTTGGGGCTATTGATGAAGATGAAACGAGGGTGGCAAGCAGAACAAGAAAAAGGAAATGACTGTGTTGAAAAGAAACATCCTCTGGAACTGGAGGTCTAACCCCAGGCCCAGCCATGTGAAAGGTCAGGGGTCTAAACCCAGGACCAGCCATGTGAAAAGTCAGGGGTCTAAACCCAGGACCAGCCACGTGAAAGGTCAGGGGTCTAAACCCAGGCCCAGCCACGTGAAAGGTCAGGGGTCTAAACCCAGGACCAGCCATGTGAAAGGTCAGGGTTCCAAACTGCAGGACCAGCCATGTGAAAGATCAGGGTTCTAAACCGTATAAAAAAAGAAAGAAAAGTTAGTATATGTTATATATAATAATTAGTATATATACTAAATTTTTAACTTGGGGCTATTGATGAAGATGAAACGAGGGTGGCAAGCAGAACAAGAAAAAGGAAATGACTGTGTTGAAAAGAAACATCCTCTGGAACTGGAGAGCATTATGCTAAGTGAAATAAGCCAGTCAATGAAGGAAAAATACCACATGATCTCACTCATTCATGGATAATAGAGACCATTATAAACTTTTGACAATAATAGAATACAGAGGCAGACCTGCCTCACACAGATTGTCAAACTGCAGCGGGAAGGCCGGGGAGGGTTGGGGGGCAGGAGGGAGGGGGGTAAGACATCAACCGAAGGACTTGTATGCATGCATATAAGCATAGGGGTAAGGGAGGCCAGGGGATTGTCAAGGGTGGGGGAAAAAAAAGGAGAAACATGTAATACTCTTTGTAATAATTTAAGCAATAAAAATATATATATTAAAAAAAAAAAGAAAAGAAAAGAAAAGAAACATCCTCTTTCCATAAGTCTCATGTGTGATGTGGTCATATTTGTGTATTTATGTGTAACTTTGTTTCTATTTATACAGAATATTAATACTATGCACTTAAATGGACTAATATATGAGAATACTCCTACTTTTTTATATAGAACTTTAAAAATGAATAGTGAATATTTAAAGAGTACTTTACTTAGCTATATTATACTTAGAGCCTCGATGCATGAAATTCGTGCAAGAGTAGACCTTCCTTCCCCCGGCTGCCAGCACTGGCTTCCCTCTGGCACCCGGGACCCGGGCTTCCCTCGTAGCCCCTGCTTCATTCAGAAGGTCATCCGGAAGGACGTCCGGTCTAATTAGCATATTATGCTTTTATTATTATAGATGTTTTCTGTTGTCAAAATATATTATGGTAACTTTAAAGTCAATAACTCTGACATTTAGATGCCTTGAATACAGAACACTTTAGCAAAAAGAGGTGTAAGAAATCTGGTAATAGCAATAGATATTGTTTAAACATTTCTTTATTTAGCCCTAGTAGGATTTGAGCAAACACAAAGCTATTAATAAAATGGTGAAGTCTAGCCCTAGCTGGTTTGGCTCAGTAGATAGAATGTCAGCCTGTGGACTGAAGCAAATGGTGGTCCGCGGACCATTGGTGGTCGGTGAGGTCTGAAAGGTTGGCGACTGCTGGACTGAAGGGTCCTGGGTTTGATTCAGGTCAAGGGCACATGCCTGGGTTGTGGGCTTGATCCCCAGTAGGCAACCAATCAGTGATTCTCTCTTGTCATTGATGTTTCTATCTCTCTTTCCTTCTCCCGTCCTCTCTGAAATCAATACAGATATATTTTAAAAAATAAAACGGTGACGTCTAGTTTAAAAGTTGTTTATGTATCTAGAATTAAATAACTATTTCAGTTTCTATAATCAAAGTTCTAATTTTGACAAATCTTCAACATTGGGGGTTCTACAAAACTGGATGCAACATCTAATTTTTAAATACATTTTCTTCTAGTATCTTTCTCTGAAGAAGAGAAGTGTCAGCTGCGAAAATTTGTCCATAAGTCTTACCTGCTGGACAAAAGAGCCCAACGTCAAGTGTACTATAGTCTGATTGATATCCTTCTGGCCTATTGCTACGAGACTCGTGTCAATGAAGGAGAGAGGAACGTAAGTGCGTGTGTGTCTGTGCTTGTTGGCTGAGACTCCTGCACTGAGTAAACTGTATTAGTACTTCACTCCTCTTGTGGAGAGTAAGACCTGTGGTGATCACTACTTAGGGGACGCTTGGGGCAGAGTTGCACATGTTTGTTGGTGGTGGGTATCAACATGGAAGCATAATGCTTACTTGGTGTCTTTCTTTTCTCTCTTGGCATCAGTCTTTATACATAGCAAAGAGGGGAAGTAAAACTGAGGCTAGAGAAAAAGGATCTTTAGGAGATAAATTGCTCAAATAAGACACTTGACTTTGGCAAGGAGTAAACTATCAACCCATTTATGTTCTTTCTCTGAGCTGTCAATTAGCAGGTGCAAGGTATAGGAATCTTTTAAAGCAGCGGTTCTCAACCTGTGGGTCGCGACCCCTTTGGGGGTCAAACAACCCTTTCACAGGGGTCGCTTAAGACCATCAGAAAACACATATATAATTACATGTTATTTTTGTGATTAATCACTATGCTTTAATTATATTCAATTTGTATCAATGAAATTGGGGGTCACCACAACATGAGGAACTGTATTAAAGGGTCGCAGCATTAGGAAGGTTGAGAACCACTGTTTTAAAGAAATCCTATATAATAAAAAGGCTAATATCAAATCGACCTAACAGCGGAACGACTGGTCACTATGACGGGCACTGACCACCAGGGGCAGACGCTCAACACAGAAGCTGCCCCCTGATGATCAGTGCGCTCCCACAGGAGTAATGCCGCTCAGCCAGAAGCTGGGGCTCATAGCTGGTGAGCGCAGCGGCAATGGTGGGAGCCTCTCCTGCCTCTGTGGCAGTGCTAAGGATGTCCAACTGCTGGCTTAGGCCTGAAGCGGGCCTAAGTCGTCAGTCGGACATCCCCCCGAGGGCTCCTGGGGGTGCATGCCGGGCTGAGGGATTACACCCCCCCGCCTCAGTGCACGAATTTTGTACCCTGAACCTCTAGTCTGTTATTAAGAATATACTAATCTAAAGTACTAATGTAAAGTACATTAGTATTCTTAAATTATATTCTTTTTTAATAACACAGACTTTATCATAGCTCTCCTTAAACCACATTTGATTTTGTAAATGAAGAGCTAAACATTTTTCTCACCTCTACTTTTAAAAAAAGCTGGGAAACAACAACAAAAAGCCTTTCTGGTTAATGTGCACTGCAGCTATTTATGATTTCTTGAGCTGTGCACATGCTTTCTTAAAAAAATTTTTTTTAAAATATATTTTATTGATTTTTTACAGAGAGGAAGGGAGAGGGATAGAGAGTTAGAAACATCGATCAGCTGCCTCCCGCACATCTCCTATGGGGGATGTGCTCGCAACCCAGGTACATGCCCTTGACCGGAATCAAACCTGGGACCTTTCAGTCTGCAGGCCGACGCTCTATCCACTGAGCCAAACCGGTTTCGGCTTTCTTAAAAATTTAAATACACAAATACTCCGTATCATTGTAAAGGGAAATACACACAAGAAAAAAATCATTAAAATGTCCTGTAACCTCAGCCCCAGAAAAAGCCACTGTTAAAAGGTGATGTATCTCTTTCACTCTCTTTCATTGTGCACATGTATGTATGCTTGTATGATATTGGGTCATGATGTATGCATTATATAACCTGCTGTTCTCACTTAACATCATAGTTTTAGGATTAGAATTTTATATGTGCCAAGATGATTTATATTGTCATGATTCTGAAAATTTCAAGAGAGACTCTTGAGATTTGCATTTCACTCCAAAATGAATATAAATGAGTGTATCAAGGGCCTAATATAACTGAAAATGCTTTTTGTTTCCACTCATCTTTTTAAGATACTGCAATTGGAGAAAATGTTTTCTTTGGCAAAAAGTGCTTGTTGCTTGAGGAGATAAGTGAGTGTTTAGTTTTACTCGATAACATTTATTCTTGTATTTGCATATTTGAAATTATGAAGTCTTGAAACTTCAAAACCCTCTTTAGAATATACTTACTCTCACAAGCATTCTCTGAAAAGGCCAAATTCTTGAGCAGCTTTTTTGTGTGCCACAGACACACATTAATATTATTTTTGAGTCCATTGATAGAATGTTTGGGAAGTAAGTAACTTAGTTGAGAAGGACAGAAATTGAGCAATGCATCACTTTACTTTAATTTTACTTTCATAGCTGTGCTCATTTGCTCTTGTGCCCTGGGACTCTTATTAGTGGAAAAGCTTTACTTTATAAAATCCAAATAGACAGAAACTTGCCTTTGATAGCATCTGCATTGAGTAAAGCAAGTATTTTATTTTATTTTTTGCAATCATAGACACTTCTTAGCTTTTATATTTATGTCAACACTACTCACATGCTATTTGAATAAATGGATATATTTGTTTTATTTTTATATGACTATCTCTCACGTGACTGTATTCTTTTCTTTAAAACTAATAAAGGTTGAATCTGCGTGGAATATCAGAAAACTGAGTCCAACACTGTGCTGGTTTGAGGTATGACTTTTAATTGCAATTTTTTATATTTGTTTGTCCAGAAATGTATTTTTTCATTGTCATTAGTTCATTTTGGGTAATTTAAGCAATTCCTTGACTTTTTAAAAATGGAAGGTTTATTGTACAAGTTTATTTTTTGTCTTTTTAATAAAATTCTAATCCATTTGTTACTCTTATTCTAATTATAGTATACTAATGAAGCCAGGTGGGGTATTTTGGAAATCAGGAGAGGGAGAACGCATTTTGGAGAAAGAATGGGTATGTGGTCTGTTGGGGAAGACTGTGGGGTGGAGTTGAGGCATGTTTATGAGTTGGCATATATTGGGGCTCAGAGGTCAAAGATGGTAATCACACCCAGTGGTCCTACCAATGGCTCCCACTGACCACCAGGAGCTGTGGAGGCGTACATGCATTCCCTCACTAACTCCTTCCCATAGTCTGTGAGAAGTATTATTAACATTTTACAGACCAGGAAACTTAGCACATATAGCTTAAATAACTTCTCTTAGTCCTATAATTAGTATAGTTAGATCTGATAAATCTTTTAATATAGTGATACTTGTTTTTACATATATTTTCTAGAAAATAGTTTTGTAGGTCTTACCAAAAATATCAATGGGTGATATCTTTAAATTTACCTGATTTGGACAAAATGTTATACATCAAAATAGTAATTAAGAGTAGAAGCTTAAAAAAGTGTCAATTTAAATTTCCCTCAGTTAAAAGCCTACATACTAGGTGTACCGGTTAATAATGCGGATTTTTTTCAATAGATGGAGTTACACATATGTTGATATATATGTGATTTGATATGTATGCTATTTTGTTGTATTGACAAGAAGCTTCAAAACTTCATATGTCAAATTTGTTGAAGGTGTTAACATCATAATCGATATTTTTACATTTAAAAATGTCAAATTTCGTGCCAAAAAAAGAGCATTTGCGGGAAGTTTTAATTCATTACTTTATTTTGAAGAAAAGTGCTGCTGAATACTTCAGGAAGCTTATGGTGAACATGCTCCATCTCAAGATACTTGTGAATGCTAGTTTAAATGCTTTAAAAGTGATGATTTCTATGTGAAAGACAAGAATGTTCAGGTCAACCAAAAAAGTTTGAAGACCAACAATTACAAGCATTATTGGATGAAGATGCATGTCAAACTCAAAAACAACTTGTAGAAAGATTAAACATTTCTCAGCAAATAATTTCTGATCGTTTACAAGCAATGGGAAAGATTTTAAAGGAAGGAAAATGGGTGCCACATCAACTGAACAAAAGACAAATGGAAAACCGAAAAGTCATCGGTAAAATGTTGCTTCAGCAGCACAAAAGAAAGTCTTTTTTGCATCGAATTGTGACTGGCGATGAAAAGTGGATTTATTTTGAGAATCCCAAACGCACAAAATCATGGGTTGATCCAGGTCAAACATCAACATGGATTGCAAGGCCAAATCGCTTCGGAAAAGACAGTGCTTTGTGTTTGGTGGGATCAGGAAGGTGTGGTGTATTATGAGCTTCTAAAACCAGGTGAAACCATTAATACTGATCGCTGTCGACAACAAATAATCAGTTTGAACCACGCTTTGATCCTGAAACTACCAGAATGTGCTAGCAGACACAGCAAAGTAATTTTGCTTCATGGTGACGCACCATCACACACTTCAAAATCAGTTAAAGACACATTAAAACAGCGGTTCTCAACCTGTGGGTCGAGACCCCTTTGGGGGTCTACATACTCAGGTTTTGCGTTTGATTCCTGGTAGGGGTGCAGTCGATGTTTCTCTCTCACATCGATGTTTCTGTCTCTCCCTTCCTCTCTCTCTGAAATCAATAAGAACATAGCCTCAGGTGAGGATTTTAAAAAATTGGGGGTAGGGGATTTTAGCAAGATGGCGGCATAGGTAAACACCGGAGACTGCTGCCGCAAACAACCACTTCAAAAATACAACTAAAAGACGGAACGGACATCACCCAGAACCACAGGAAGGCTGGCTGAGGAGAGACTCTTCAACTAGAAGGAAAAATAACAGCACACCGAGGCTCAGAGGAGGCGCAGTGTGGAAAATACTCAGGTGCGGAGGTGCGCGCGCAAAGCGGGCTGGTGGCTGAGAGCGCGGTTGTCGTTTTCGGTCAGGGGGGAGTCTCAGACTCTGAGCTCCAGATACGGGCGAATCGCTGGGGACTCGGACCCAAACGGGAGAAGCGGGAGTGTCTGGCATCAGTTGGAAGGCAGCTTTCTCTCCGAGGTTTGCAGCGGTTCCTGGGGTTCTGAGAAGCAGAGCCTCTGGGAACGGGACTGAGAGGGGCTATAACCGCTCCCTCCGCCCGCCCTGTTGAGCCCGCCCCGCCCAAGCCCTGCGCAGAGCCATTTGCCGGATCGCCTCAGGCAAAGGCTAGATTAGCACCTCCCCAGAGGACAGAAGTTTTCCGCGGCAGACACAGCTGATTCACACAGCCAGTCGGCCTGGTGGTCAAATCCCTCTAGTATTAACTACAACAATCAAGGCTCAACTAGAACAAGACTGCGCACAAAGACCACTAGGGGGTGCACCAAGAAAGCATAAAAAATGCGGAGACAAAAAAACATGACAGAAATGGAGGATATAGAGCTAAAAATCGCAATTTTGAGGGCTTGCAAAAATGTGCTAGAAGCTGTCAATAAACTTGAGGAGAGAGTCACGAAAACTAATGAGACCCTCGATGCTATGATAAAGAACCAACTAGAAATTAAGCATACACGGACTGAAATAAAGAATATTATACAGACACCCAATAGCAGACCAGAGGAGCGCAAGAATCAAGTCAAAGATTTGAAATGCGAAGAAGCAAAAAACACCCAACCGGAAAAGCAAAATGAAAAAAGAATCCGAAAATATGAAGATAGTGTAAGGAGCCTCTGGGACAGCTTCAAGCGTACAAACATCAGAATAATTGGGGTGCCAGAAGATGAGAGACAGCAAGATATTGAAAACCTATTTGAAGAAATAATGGCAGAAAACTTCCCCCACCTGGTGAAAGAAATGGACTTACAGGTCCAAGAAGCGCAGAGAACCCCAAACAAAAGGAATCCAAAGAGGACCACACCAAGACACATCATAATTAAAATGCCAAGAGCAAAAGACAAAGAGAGAATCTTAAAAGCAGCAAGAGAAAGAGTCTCAATTACCTACAAGGGAATACCCATACGACTGTCAGCTGATTTCTCAACAGAAACTTTGCAGGCCAGAAGGGAATGGCAAGAAATATTCAAAGTGATGAATAGCAAGAACCTACAACCAAGATTACTTTATCCAGCAAAGCTATCATTCAGAATTGAAGGTCAGATAAAGAGCTTCACAGATAAGGAAAAGCTAAAGGAGTTCATCACCACTAAACCAGTATTATACGAAATGCTGAAAGGTATCCTTTAAGAGGAGGAAGAAGAAAAAGGTAAAGATACAAATTGTGAACAACAAACATGCATCTATCAACGAGTGAATCTAAGAATCAAGTGAATAAATAATCTGATGTACAGAATGAACTGGTGATTATAATGAATCAGGGACATAGAAAGGGAATGGACTGACTATTCTTGTGGGGGAAAGGGGAATGGGAGATGCGGGAAGAAACTGGACAAAAATCGTGCACCTATGGATGAGGACAGTGGGTGGGGAGTGAGGGCGGAGGGTGGGGTGGGAACTGGGAGGAGGGGAGTTATGGGGGGGAAAAAAAGAGGAACAAATGTAACCTGAACAATAAAGATTTAATTTTAAAAAAAAAAAAAGAAAAAAAGAAAAAAGAAAAAAAAAAAAAAAAAAAATCTTGCCTGGGAAGTATTAACCCACCTGCTGTATTCACCAGACCTTGCTCTTTCAGATGATCACTTGTTCTGATTTGATGGCACACGCACTTTCTGAGCAGCACTTCAAACGTATGAAGAAGTGGAAAATTGGGTCTCTGAATGGTTTGCCTCAAAACAAGAAAAGTTCTATTGGGATGGTATCCACAAATTCCTGAAAGATGGGGGAAATGTGTAGCTAGTGATGGACATTACTTTGAATAAAGCACTTTCGATGTTTCTCTTGAAATTATCGTGTTTTCTTTGATTACAAAATCTGCATTATTAACTGGTACACCTAGTATAGTACATTTTAAGTTGTAAAATCAAAGTTGTTTCATGGCATCATTTGATTGAAGTAAAAGGTATGTTGTAAACAGGAACTGAAACACTTAACTTTATCTGGTCCATGGACCAACAGCTTGGCCAGCATCTGTGGCTGGGAGATTGTTAGCAGCACATAACATCAGTCCAGATACACTGAGTCAGAATCTGTAGCTAGATCTCCAGGGTTTTATGTGTATACTAGAGGCCCGGTGCACGAATTTGGGATCGGGCTGAAACTGGCTCTCTGACATCCCCCAAGGGGTCCCAGGTTGTGAGAGGGTGCAGGCTAGGCTGAGGGACCCCACCAGTGCACAATCAGGGCCGGAGAGGGATGCGGGAGGTTGGCCAGCTGGGGAGGGACTGCAGGAGGGCTCCAGAGCATGTCTGGCCCACCTTGCTCAGTCCCGATTGGCCAGACCCCAGCAGCAAGCTAACCTACGCGTTGGAGCATCTTTTCCCTGGTGGTCAGTGCACTTCATAGTGACCAGTCGACTGTCTGCCTCCTGGTGGTCAGTGCACATCATAGTGAGTGGTTGAGCAGCCTTAGTATCATTAGTATATTACACTTTGGTTGGTTGAACAGCTGCCTGGTCAACAGACACTTAGCATATTAGGCTTTTATTATATAGGATTAAAGATGGAGAAGTGCTGTTTGCTAGACTTCATTTAGGTTCTACGTATTGCCACCATCAGCATATAATGGAGAAACTGGTTTTTGTAGTAATTGCATTCATTATGGAGTTAGTGATCAATTTTATAATTCAGTTATTAAAATCTACATGAATAGCATCACCTATTTATGATTTTATTTTGAAATTTTTAGATTTTGAGAAAACTTAGAATTGCCAGACATGGTAATAACTGTCAGACTTTTATAAGTATTTAATTTTTTTTGCTAGAATTTTTTAAAAGTTCATAGCTCTTTTTATTTTTTTAAAAAATATATTTTATTGATTTTTTACAGAGAGGAAGGGAGAGGGATAGAGAGTTAGAAACATCGATGAGAGAGCAACATCGATCAGCTGCCTCCTGCACACCCCCTATTGGAGATGTGCCCACAACCAAGGTACATGCCCTTGACTGGAATCGAACCTGGGACCCTTCAGTCCACAGGCCGACGCTCTATCCACTGAGCCAAACTGGTCAGGGCCATAGCTCTTTTTAGATATAAACTATTCTTTGTCAGATACTCAATATTCTTAATCAGGTCTCCCATTGCTGCTCCCTTAGTGTTAATTTTATATTTTAAGTTTTATATATGGGTAACATTTTTTATCAAAACTCAATTTAAGCCCGGCCAGTGTAGTTCAGTGGTTGAGCATCATCCTATGAACAAGGAGGTCGTGGTTCGATTCCCACTCAGGGCACATGTCCAAGTTGCGGCCTCAATCCCTGGTAGGGGCATGTAGGAGGCCGATCAGTGATTTTCGCTCATCATTGATGTTTCTATCTCTCCCTCTTCCTTCCTCTCTGAAATCAATCAAAACAAAACAAAACAAAAAACAAAAAAACATCTCAATTTGAAAACAGTTTGGTAGAAAATTACCTTTGTCTAGTGATTTCAGTAAGTTTTGAATTGCTAATGGTTATCAGTTTAATACTATTTACAATAAAACACTCTTTTTTCCAGGAATTATTAATTTTCTCTTTGATGATTAAAAATAAATTACTGAAGTAAATACCATGTATTACTCATGCCCAAAGTAAAAAAGAGAGAGTCTGAACACACACCACTAAAAAGTTCTACACCTTTCATCTATACTCTGTGGAATGGTCCTAAAAGACGAAAGCATAAAATATAGATTATTGAGAAAGGTCTTTTGTGTGCATGTGTGTTTGGTTAGACCCATGTGTTTTAGATTCACATTTGTAATTCTTAAGAGACTTTTAAAAGCTTTCCTACTACATATGTGATTTTTAAAGAGCGGGTGTGATAAAATATGGAAATTACAAAGACTAATAAGATTAAATAATTTATTGTAAGGTGTAAAACTCATTTTATGGTTTTATATTTCTCTCTACTTGGCTTCATTATAATCCAAACTTAAAAAAAAATTTTTTTAATCCTCACCTGAGGATATTTTTCCTTTTTTTTAAAGGGAGAGTGGAAGAGAGAGGTAAAGATAGAGAGAAATATCGATGTGGGAGAAACACATAGATTGGTTGCCTCCTGCACGAGCCCCTACCAGAGCCCAGGCTGGGGAGGAGCCTGTAACCGAGGTACATATTCTAAAACAAGCTAAGTGCCAAATTTAAATCACTTTGTATTCTTGTTTTTCATGGGTACCTATAATTTCTAGGTACTATGCTAGAACTGTGGGTATAATAGTAAATAATAAGGGTCCCAGATTCGATGCCCTTGACCAGAATCGAATCCGGGACCCTTTGGTCCACAGGCTGACACTCTCCAGGGGTCCTCAAACTTTTTAAACAGGGGGCCAGTTCACTGTCCCTCAGACCGTTGGAGGGTCGGACTATAGTTTAAAAAAAAACTAGTCGGCTGCTAAGCAACAGGCAGTGGCGGCAAAAACACCCGGCGGGCCAGATAAATGTTTTTGGCGGGCCGCATGTGGCCCGTGGGCCGTAGTTTGAGGACCCCTGCTCTATCCACTGAGCCAAAACAGCTAGGGCCAAACTTTTAATTTTTTTTTTAATATGTATTTTGATTTTTTATAGAGAGGAAGGGAGAGGGATAGAGAGTTAGAAACATTGATGGGAGAGAAACATTGATCAGCTGCCTCCTGCACACCTCCTACCAGGGATGTGCCTGCAGCCAAGGTACATGCCCTTGACCGGAATCGAACCTGGGACCTTTCAGTCCACAGGCCAACGCTCTATCCACTGAGCCAAAACGGCTAGGGCCAAACTTTTAATTTTTAATGGACAATATTTCATGATATACTTTTGTTTGTATAATATGGAAATGCTTACTTATTTAATTGATACTTCATAGACTTGGACTAATGTTCATGAAGTCCTGGTGTCTTTTGGAAGAAGAGTTTTGTGCTACCCACTTTACCGCCATTTCAAGCTGGTGACGAAAGCCTGCAGAGACACTATAATGATATTGCAACTAGGTGAGATATTATTGTGCTTACACAATTGAGAATGAAAAATTACAAGTTTTTAGTCGAGGAAGTAATGCTCTTTTTTTCTATATGTAAATAATGAAATGATTCATCCAACCACTTTTCCTCCCAGGTGTATGTAAAGTAATAGTCCCTCTATACAGATGTATAATCACACAAATCAGGTGTTTCTGAAAGGAGTGGGAAGGTAAATAAAGAAGTACACACCATATTCCAACCCACTTTGTATTTAGTAGATTTCATCATTCAGTGTTTCTTGGGTGCTTATAATTCCTAGGACTGTGGGTATAATCGTAAATAAGATAAATTTCCTGTTCCTATGAAGTGTTCAGTTTTACCTGGATGATAAATAACACACAATTTCAGAATAGAGTGAAATGCACTTTGCTTGCGGGAGTACAGTGATCCACTAGGAAGAGGCAAGGGGACCTGGGCTTGGAAAGGCTTTCCAAAGAAAAGCACAGCTACTCACAGGACTTTTTTTTGTTGTTAATTTTTTTTTCTATTGATCTTAGAGTAAGGGAGGGAGGGAAGGAGGAACAAACAGAAAGAGAGAGAGAGAGAGAGAGAGAGACATGTATTGATTGCCTCCTGCACAACCAATAGTATTAACAAGTATGAAAATAGTATTAACAAGACTTAAAAGGAAAGCACAATTTTTGAAGAGTATGTAACTTTCCTTTTCAAAACTGTGTCATAATTTTTGTAAATTTTCTAAAACACCTGATCAAAATATTGCTTGTCAGTTGTTCAAAAATGCATTTTAAAGAAAATGTTCAAGTATGAATTTAAATGTCTAGCATTTTTTATCAGTATTTTAAGGCTTAGTTGTATAATCAAGTATGTCTGTCTTTTTGTTGAACAAATAAATGTTCATTGTGGAGAATTTTGAAAATAGGGGAAGTGCAAAGAAGAATAAAGAACTGTAATTCCTCATATGAAATAATGTCAGGCACACATCACATTTGTTCAGTGACTGTAGAGACAAACATATACTTGTTCAATGACTGTAGAGACACACACACACACACACACATACATATATATATACATATATATATAAACTTACATATATAAAACTTCTTTCCCATATGTATTTATCTTTTTTTAAACAAAATAGGGATAAAACTATGTAAATACAATGTAACTTCTCTTTAAATTAAAAATACAGAATACTTTTTTATTATTATTCTTTTGTGATAATAAATTTGCCTGTAGCCATTAGCAAGGGGGCAACTTTGCTTTTGGCATGTCTGTTAAATGAAGCTATATAATTTCATTAGGTAATGGTTGCTATGGGTTCTCATTTGTGGCCTTAATTCTATAACTTTCTTGATAAAAATCTCTGGAGTAGAGTCTTATTCCTATTGCAGACACCTGTGTTTAGGCCTCTCACCACAGTCCTGTCCGATTGCATTAGTCTCCTCCTTGTCACAGTCTGACTTCTACCAAACTCACCTATTGACTCCCCTATTTCCCTACTGGAGCCATCTGCTCCAGCTAAATAATTTTTTTTTTCTGTTATTCCCTGAACCACCCCATTTTAAGTCCACGTCTGCTCCTTTTTATGTCGTCCTCCGAGCTGGCATATTATACCAGTCATGCATCCCTGGGATAAATCCCACTTGGTCATGATATATGTACTTTTTAATATATTACTGGATTTGATTTGCTAATATTTTGTTGAGGATTTTAGCATCTGTGTTCATCAGGGATATTGGCCTGTAATTCTCTTTTTTTGTAGTGTCTTTGTCTGGTTTTGGAATTTGGGTAATGCTGGCCTCAATTTTGCTTGGAAGTGTCCATTCCTCTTGGAATTTTTGGAATAGTTTGAGAAGGATAGGTGTGTTAGTTCTTTGAATGTTTGGTTAAATTCCCCTGTGAAGCTATTTGGAACAGGGCTTTCGTTTTCTGGGAGTTTTTGATTAGTGCTTCTATTTCATCAGTTGTTAATGATCTATACAGGTTCATTTAACAATCAGGAGGAAGTAATTAGAGTGAACAAGAGGGTAGTATTTTATAGCTTTTTCCAAGTGGTTTTGTTGCTTTGTTTTTGAAGTAGTGCTATGATGTTTTGTTTTCAGTCTCACTTTTCTTCAGTTCTTTAAGTTGAAAAAAATGTAAGTTAGTACTAGATAATTACTTGACAAAAAAATATTGACATAAATAAAGAAGTTGAAAACTAAAATATAATTCCCAATGGTGTTTTGAAAGTTTGAATTAGAAGAACATTATCTAATTGAAGTTATGGTGCATGTAAATATTCATTTAGTCTGGGTTGCTTCTTTTTGTTTAATATATCTAGTTGTGTTCATAGTACTTTTTTTTGGTAACCACAGTTAATTAGCTATAGCAATAGCGTATAAGGCTTACTCATAATTCTTAAGGAAAAAATAATGGGCTTTGGCCCTAATAGTGTGATACAATTTTATGCAACAAAGGAATATGAAAAATATTCTAAAGAACAATTAAAACTCAGAACTGCTATATATTACCACCTGGTGTCTGAAATTCTCAGTTTAAAAAAATCAGATATATTTTCTTAAAGATGATTTTATTTTTTTAAATTTCCTTTAGGTAAAAGTGCAGTTTTAAAGTGTCTCCTGGATATTCACAAAATTTTTCAGGAAAGTGACCAAGCTTACATTCTAAACGATCTCTATATCTCGGACTACTGTGTGTGGATTCAGAAAGCCAAGTAAGTTTTGAATTACATATGAATTCTGTATGTTCCCATTTCAGGAATACCTACTTACCCCTGAGGAAGAACATGAAATAACCTGGGAGATAAATTTTAATGAAAGAGAAGAAGCCTCACTTAGCTACCAAACATTTTAAGAAGTAAATGAATCAACCTGGGTAGCTTAGGGAGGAAGTGCAGATGTTGAAAAGCTAATTTTACTTAAAAAAAAAAAATTGGCACTGCTTAGGAAATAAATGTTAAAACAGGCAGTTATAAATATTTAATGCTATGCCATTGACTGTCCTATATAATAAAAGGCTAATATGCAAATCGACTGAACGGTGGAACGACCAGTTGCTATGACACGCACTGACCACCATGGGGCAGACGCTCAGTGCAGGAGCTGCCCTCTGGTGGTCAGTGCGCTCCCACAGGGGGAGCGCTGCTCAACCAGAAGCCAGGCTCACGGCTGGTGAGCGTGGTAGTGGTGGCGGGAGCCTCTCCCGCCTCCGCAGTAGTGCTAAGGATGTCTGACTGCTGGGGAGCGGGCTTAAGCCATCAGTTGGACATCCCCTGAGGGCTTCCGGACTGCAAGAGGGCACAGGCTGGGCTGAGGGACCGCCCCCTAAGTGCACGAATTTCGTGCACCGGGCCTCTAGTACAGTGGTTCTCAACCTGTGGATCGCAACCCCTTTGGTGGTCGAACGACCCTTTCACAGGGGTCACCTAAGACCATCCTGTATATCAGATATTTACATTACGATTCATAACAGTAGCAACATTACAGTTATGAAGTAGCAACAAAAATAATTTTATGGTTGGGTCACAACATGAGGAACTGTATTTAAAGGGCCAGAAGGTTGAGAACCACTGCTCTAGTACAATATGAAATCTCAAGCCCGAGGATTGGAACCTGTTGATACTTTACTTCAGTGCAGTGTGAGTGTGCCTGTGTGCACCTATGTAAACATCTCAGGGCACAAACCTAATCAGTGCTGATTACAAAGCTGTGTCTTCACTGGCTAACCACTGGCTAACAGAATCCATTGTTCAGAGCATTAAAAAATGCAACCCTCAGAGCCGAATCACATGATTCCTGGTAACATATACCTAAGGGTCTGAACACTCACAAGTGGGATGCTTGCACTTGGTATGTAAACTTCAGAAAGGGTTTCCCATTGCCTCACTCAGGACTATATGCAGTTTAACAATGCAGTGAATTTTCATTTGTGAAAGGGTTCTTAGACCTGATTCTTATCACACATGCCCAAGTATCCATTTCACTATTAAAAAACTATTAATTGAGAACTCACAAAGAGAACTCTTGATCGCAGTGATTCTTCAGTGTAGAAAAATAATGGCGCAATATCATTTGTTACTTAGAAGAAAAATGATTATGATATTTTTTCTATTATTGTGGTTGGTAAATTAATGCTCTAGTATGGCTTTAATGCCTGTTTCAAGTGAGCCATTATATAGCATTTACTTCTTTTTCTGTTCATGGGGAAGCAATTATATTGCAGAGTGAACTAAAAAATCTTGAAGCTATTACCTGTTGTAAAGAAAATGTTAGGGACTGGGCAAGATAACCCCTAATAATATTCACCAGGTGGTGTCAGCATTTGTGTTGGAAATGTAGATTTTGCCAGATGGGAAATTGTGTCTCCAGCCCTGAAGTCATGATGGTGTGGCATCACTTCATTCAGTCCACAGCTGATTGAGCTCATCATGCTGTGTTGCCAATCCCGCTGCTTTCATAACAAAACTAAATTGAAATAGTCTATTTGTGTGGATTTACATCTTTCTTTTTTTCTTTGAGGGAAAGGATTTTATAAACATGTAATGAACATTGATAAACATTAATATTTGTTCTAGGATCCCATTTCTTTGAGTTGCATTTCTTATCAACAAGGGAGATCACATATCTCATTAAGTAGAAGGGTGCCCTCAGGTTGATATGGGGAGTGTTAGACTTTCTCTTAAACATTTTTTTCTTTGGTTTTAGGTTGCGGAAAATTTTATTAAATTTTCTAATTTCATTCTTAATTTTTCAAGTACAACATAATTGAGCTTTTCAATATCTGTTGCTGTGGACTTTCTTGGCTCTGGATTAATTATATTGCAGTGAATGTCCATGATTTTCATAACTAATTTCTTTCTCACCTTTCACCTTCTGGTTTCTTTCTTTTCCATATAGTTTATCCGTGAAAGCTAGCACCTTATTTTAAAATAATTCTGTATTTTCCTGAATCTATTTCTCACTTCCTCACTTTATCTCACACAGCCATGAGCATTCTAGTATTCTAGTTGTTTTTGCTTGTTTTTTTGTTTCTTTTAATATGTTCTTATTTATTTCAGAGAGGAGGGGAGAGGGAGAGAGAGATAGAAACATCAATGATAAGAAAGAATAATTGATAGGCTGCCTTCTGCACGCTCCCTACTGGGTATTGAGTTTGCAACCTGGGCATATGCCCTTGACCAGAATCGAACCTAGGACCCTTCAGTTCCCAGGCCAACGCTCTAGCCACTGAGCCAAATCAGCTAGGGCTAGAAGTTTTTTTGTATATCTCAGTGTTCCAAATTGGGTGCATATATGTTTATCAAACTATTATCCTCTTGTTGGCTTGATCCCTTTAGTATTATGTAGTAACCTTTGTTGTATCTTGCGATGACCTTCATTTTGAAGTCTGTTTTGTTGGATATGAGTATTGCTACCCCAGCATTTTTGTTTGTTTGTTTCCATTTGCATGGAAAATTATTTTCCATCCCTTCATTTTCATCCTCTGTAAGTCTTTTCTTCTGAGGTGGGTCTCTTGTAGAAAGCATATAGTTGGGTCATGTTTTGTATCCATTCAGCTACCCTACATCTTTTGATTGGAGCATTTAATCCATTTACATTTAGGGTTATTATTGATAGGTACTTACTTATTGCCATTTTAATTCTGTGTGCCTATGTTTCTCTTTCTCTCTCTCTCTCTCTCTCTCTCTCTCTCTCTCTCTCTCTCTCTTCTTCCCCTTACAGAAGCCCCTGTACCACTTTTTCTGGTGCTGGCTTGGTGGCGATAAACTCCATTAGCCTTTTTTGTCTGGGAAGCTCTTTATTTCACCATCTATTTTGAATGACAGCCTTGCTGGTTATAGTAATCTTGGTTTCAGATACTTGATTTTCTTTACCTTGAATACTTCATGCCATTCCCTCTGGCCTGTAGACTTTCTGATGAGAAATCAGTTGACAGCCTATGGGAGCTCCTTTGTAGATAACAAATTGCTTTTTTCTTGCTGCCTTTAAGATTCTCTCTTTGTCCTTAATTTTTGACATTTTAATATGATGTGTCTGGGCGTGGGTCTGTTGGGTTCTTCTTGCTTGGGACTCTCTGTGCCTCCTGGACTTATGTGACTTTTCCCTTCACCAGATTAGGGAAGTTACCTGACATTATTTCTTCATACATGCTCTCTATTTCTTACTCACTTTCTTCTCCTTCTAGCACACATATGATGCAAATATTGTTATGGTTTCATGTTGTCCCACAGCTCTCTTAAGCTGTCCTCCTATTTTTAAATTGTTTTTTTTCTTTTTGATTCTCTGGTTGAGTGAATTTTTTCTACCCTGTTTTTTAATTCACTGATCCGATCCTCCTCATCTCCCAATCTTCTGTGTATTCCTTCCACTGTGTTTTTTATAGTTCTTCTAGGGGCCCAGTTCACAAATTCATGCACCTTGAAAGGAACCGTGGGCCACGAGGCCGTGGTGGGCACAGGGGCAGGTCTTAGCCCATCCTCTGCGCCCCTGCTCTGCCCCTCCCGCCACGGCCTCCAGTCCCCTGTTGGCCGGCAGCCCCGCTCCCTCTGCCACCACTCCCATGTGCTGATAACGCCAGCCCCGTTTGCACCTGCTGACGGTGCGGAGCGATTGGAGCCAGCACTGGCCCCAGGTGTGAGCGAGGGCTTTGGTGCCAGCTGCAGGGTTTGAGCAGGGCCACTGCCAGCAGCGGGTGCGAGGGGGGCCGGCGTCGGCAGCAGGTGCGAGTGCATAGCAGGACCGCGGTGCACGGGAGCAAAGAATTTTCAGTAACCACCAGAGGCTCACCCCGATGACAGTGACCAGCTCCCTGCCTTGTTCTGGTGCCCCCACTTACCTGCTCCACCATCCCGCCGTGGCCGATGCCTGCCATGTTCCACGCTCTGCTGCCAATGCCTGCCATGTTCTGCGCACGCCCCCTGTGGTCAGCACACGTCATGGCGACTTGTTGTTTCGCTGTTCAGTCTATTTGCATATTAGGGTTTTATATATATAGATGTCATTCTTCATAGTCACTATATTTTTTTTCATGTCTGTTGAGCATCTTTGCTATCATTATTCTGAACTCTGTATCTCATAAATTTTTTTATCTCCATTTCATTTTTCCCTTGTTCTTTCATTTGGTACTTGTTTTTATGTCTTCCCATTTTGGCTGCCCGTTTGGGTTTGTGTCTGTGTAATAAGAGATCTGCTAGGACTTCCAGCCTCTAGTGCAGGACAATGTCAGATGCTGTTTGTGACTGGCCCTGAGTATCATGTGGAACTATTAGCAAACCACAGCCCGTGGCTCCTCTGCTGGGGCTGGGTGCCTTTGGAAAGGACCAACATGTGCACCAGGGTCTGCTTTTCCTATCCCTGGGCCCAGAAGGAGGTCAGGCAAAGACTCAAAGCTTCCAGAGGCCCTCCTCTGCCAGCAGTCTGATTGTTCTCAGCCTTGATTGGCCTTAGGCTATGGACTACTGGTTGGAGGGAGAGGTCTTCCAACAGGGTGGGTCAACTGCCTCCCTTCCCACCTCCCCAGGCAAAAACCACCTGGATAGCAAAGGTTCACAGGAAAAAGATGTCCTCTGCAGCATGAGGGAATGACTCAGCACAGGCAACTGGGGTGGCTGCCCTCCTGGCTCCAACCCAAGAGCCCCAACCCTGGCTTCTGCTTACTCATGTCCAGTCCACTCTGCCCTGCCTCTGCTGGAGCCCAAGGTGAGTGGCTGCACAT